TTAGCCTCCCCCTCCAACATTCATCCATGCCCCCCAGGGCTGGTAATTACGGACTCCCATCCTTTGCAGCCAGGGATCAAGTCTTTCGAAGCATGGGCTCTAGCTTTGTGAAATGACCTTGAAATTCACTGCAACGGACTCCTGACAGGTTTCTCTGCAAACACGGAGATAAGCCAACCTCTGCAAATGCCCAGGAGCAAGCTTGGAGATGAGCTGTGAGGAAGCTCCAAACATTCTCTTCAATAGACTCCCATTAAATGCTCGCGTGCTCCCAGTGAGATAGGGAGGTTTTATTGCTAGAGCTGCCAGCTGGAAGAGGACAGGACAGGGCACGGCTGGAGGTGGGCTTCAAGGCACCCTATGGTGCATGCCGGGAAGTGGAAGGCCTGGCAGACATCCTCTGACAGCTTCTCTTTAACACCTGATCTTTCCCAACCTCCCCTGGCAGCGGGAGGTTGCAGGGAGAAGGGGTGCACCTCCTGAGGGCTGTGCCCAGGGACAGCCATGGCAGTGGCTGTTGAATACATAAAGGGAAGCCAAAGATCACAGGGCAAAACAAGATCCTACACAGTGAACTTGTGGGGGCTTTCTGTAAGGGCACGGCTCAGTTTTTTGAGCTGCGGGGGCTAAAGGTGATACACTGTTTCTCCAGCCACTCTCCATGTATACCTGACTCCCTTCCTCTTCAAGTGCATTCAAAGTTAATTAGTCAAATATATGCATACATATATATTTTTTTCTGGTGGCTCTCTTCTGACTTCAAGAGAAATAATCAAGTTGTGCTCAAGGAATCTGTATCTCTCAACAATGTGTGCCTTTTCCAGCCCCACAGGGCCGTTTTGAGGCTGACACATGGCTCTGAGCAGTGGGAATCATCTCTCTGAAATACCTCATAGAGCTACTAAAGCAGCTGTCAAGTCCTTGGCCATGGTGATGGGAAAGGCTGGGCCACCGCTCTGTGGCTGCTCTCCAGTGGGTGCATGTGAGTGGTGCCTTCTCACACTCAGAACCCTTCCTCTCCCAGACACCCATCCTCCTGATTCAGGGGAAGGTAGAAGCCTTACTCCATAGCCTAGAACTCACCTTCAGCACCCTGGAGCAGGAGGGTTTATAGCTCTTTGGAGTTCATCACTCTTTATCCTTAATGTCTATATAAATGTCCAGTCATTTTTGTAAGCATACTGAACATCTCCTCCAGCAATGATTTCCCTGAATGAGTACCCTTTTTAGAATAAAGGGGATCCTTCCTATCATTAATTTTGATTGTATTATTTCTGATTTTGCTGAGTGTCCTCTCAGGCCACAAGGGATCCAAATGAAAAAGACCACCAAGACTCAGCAAAGTTCCCAGGGACTTCAGGGTCACAGGGAATGTGACACTGTGCTTGGGCAACATTCCTGAAGGCTTTGGGAAAACACAAAATAAATCCTGGGGTAGCCTACAGAGGCTGCCCTCACTGCAGCATTAACATGGAGGAGGGTGAATCCCAGAGCTCTCATGGGCTGACGCACCCCTTGCAAAGACACCAGGACCAAGGGAATTGAAGTTTTATCTTAGAATCATAGAACGGTTTGGGTTGGAAGGGACCTTAGAGCCCACCCAGCCCCGGCACCTGCTGTGGGCTGTCACCACCAATTCAGCTGCCCAGGGCCCCATCCAAGCTGGTCTGAGTGTCTCCAGGGATAGGACACCCGCGGTTTCTCTGGGGAGCCAGTGCCAGTGCCACTTCCCTTCCTGAAGCCATTTCTGATGGTCTCATCCTAGGAAGTTCTGAAGGGCTTTTGGAGCATTTATACCACAGCAAAACACAGGGCATTGTGGAACTTGATGGATTCACCAAAACTACACATCTCCCTGTTCTCCATCCTTCCCCAGATCCACCACCAGTCCCACTGTTGCTGTTGACCACAAGCGTTGCTGTGTTTCCTTCCATCCACCCTCTGCAGGGTGAGAGATTACTGAAATGGTGAAAATCACACAGGAAGAGCCAGGAGCTCCTGCACCCTCGACCTTCACCCTCTCCCTGCCCCTCTCTTGCCCACCCCCTCCACGTCCCTGCTGCAGGCACAAACACCTACTGCCCATGGAAGCTATTTCTAAGCAATCCCGGGCATCTGGAGAATGAGGCTCTGAACAAATATTGGAGTGTGCGCGTGCAGTGAGCACACACACACACACACACATCCACACAGAGATGGTGCTGCCGCAGAGTCAAATATAGACCTTGGGGAAGGGGGAACAATGGCTGGGGTTGGGTTACATGGCTGCGGGGCCAGCGAGCTGCTGATGTTTGTTGTGGGCTGGGGTGGGATGGGAGAAACAAGGGGGGTGGCATGGGGGAGAACATTTGTTTTTACCCAGAGACCCCGGGCCGGTGCTGCACAGCAAGTGTTTCAATACAGAGGAAAGGTTCGCCCTGAGCCGCGGGGGAGGATGCTGGTGTAAGCTGGCAGTTCAGAGGTGTTTGCGGCCATTCTCCAGCTGCTTGTGCTGCTCCTCTGTCTCCCTTAAGGGACTGCAGTGGGCAGGAAGCGGTGAGTTTTCCTGGGAGTCTGCAAAGAGAAGAGCTGCTTTCTCTTCTTGCTCTGGGGAAGGTTCCTAAGTGGAGGAGAAGAGAAAGTATCACCCACTGCTGAAGCCAAGCATCCTCACCCCTCATGTCCAGCTGTCTCCAAGGTGCAGGCTGCAGACACTGGAGGAAAAGCAAGCAGCCCCAGCTGGCTTTGACAGGTAACTTTTTCATCTCACTGGGAATGATGGTACAGGAGGGAGCCTGCAGCTGGCAGGCACAGGGGAGAGGCACAAAGGTGCTGTGGTGATGGGGGATTCCCAACCCCACTCTGGGTCTCTTCTCTGTGGGGTTTCCTTCATCGAAGGGAAGAGCACTGGAGGGATTCTTATGGCTAGGAAAAAATCCTTCCTAATTCTGACCCAGCAGCTGTTCCATGCGCGACGCCCCTAGGGATGGCATGGCAGGGATCAGAGCATATTAGAGCCAGGTCAAAGGCAAATGCAGGAATCCCCTCCTCAAATCTCATACCTTGGGTCTGCAAATAGAGTCACTTTGCTGGAGTCATCATGGGCAGCCTGGGGACAGCCAGAGCAAGGCTCGGAGTTTGCCAAAGGATCGGACAAGAGCCCTTCAGTGATGAGAAAGGAGCATGCTTGGGGTTTGTTGTGCCTGGTGTGTCTATCTGCTCCGTTCTGCACCCACTTTTCTATGCTCATCCCTCCCTGTCTGTGGTCCTCACACCAACAGGAATAAACCAAACCCCAGATTCTTTTTCCTCAGATGTGTTCACTTCACCCTCTGAATCCCTGCCATGGTTTCCCTTCTCCACTCCCCTGCCTGGCATGCAGATCTCCAGCAGCCGACTTCCCCTCCCTAGCCTTGGCCACAGATTTCACCTCGGAGATGACTGTTATGGGGAAGCCACGTGTGTGGCTCAGCTCACTGCAACCCAATCCCACCTCCCCCTCCCGCACAACTCCTGTTGTGGATACAGATGCTTCTGGGTACCAACACACAGCGTCGATCTGCAAGAGTTTTTTATAATGTTCATTCAATCAAGGTTTACCTGCATGCAGGTATGGCCTTGCAATGTGGTGCAGTGCCAGGGCAGATATCCACAGAAGAGAGTGAGAGCAGGATGGAAAACTGCAGGAAGCATCCTAGAGCTGATGCACCTCAGTCAGCATCCGAGCTGCAGGAGACTGGGACCTACCTGATCCTCAGGGCCCTTGGAGCAGTTCCATGGGGTGATCAAGACAGGGGAAGGCAGGCAAAGAGAAGCACAGTGTTTTTGCCTGACAGGAAAGCAGAAGGGAGGCAGAAAGGAGGCATGTGAGGTAGGAACCCATAGTATAGCTCCCTGGAGTCGTGCTGTCTGAGCAAGCCGAGGTCTGCAGGCAGATGAAGTGCAGAGCTGGACTTTGGTGGGGCTATGAGAGTCATAGGGTTGCAGGAGGTGACAAAGAGAGGGCAGGGATGTGGTGAGGAGGCAGGAACTGATAATACCCACATGAGTACCAGGAGCATTAGGTTATTCCTGCTTCCTGGAGGAAAATAGCAAACTCTGGGGCCAATGGAGTGTAGAAAAGGGGCGGATGATTTCTAATTAAGGATAGCTAGGCCTTGGAAGGTGGTGGAGTAATCTGGTCTTACAGAGTGGCAGAAAGGCCATTCAAGGTGAGGAGAAGCACAGGCAGCTGTTCCTCTTAAGGACTTGGCTGCCCAGCCCCTCACACAGGGCTGTCTCCATGTTGGAGCATCGGTCTCTATGTCTCACAAGCAGCAGCAGGAGAAGCACCAAGAACCACAGCTAGGTGGGATGGCTCCTTCCTGGCAGCTTGGCAGGGTGCCTTCTTACTGGTGTGGTTGCCTCACGTTGTTTCTCTAGTTTCGGACTTTAAATCGTGGGGCTTGAAAATGGAGGTGTGCTCAGTGCAGGGACCGGAGATAGCACAGAGGGTCTGGGGTGGCATTTTCACTTCTCTCAATATCTTGAAGCTTTGTGAAGCCTGGGGGAAATCTGGTGGGGTTTCCTGGTGCGTAGGCAGAGGTGCTGAGCGGGAGGTGACCAATACGGGAGCCCGGCATTGCGCGACTCCAGCTGCGAAGCCTCCGTGTACGGGGATGTCTGACCCTGCCTCCTGCTAAGGGGTTCCTCCGGGATCCGACTCCCAGCCCGGAGCTGCCACGGTTCGTGGGTCCGGGGGATCAGCCTGGCCCGCGCAGTGACCGTGGGTGGGTGGGAGTCCTGCGTGTGGCCGCCCCCGGAGGCAGCGGGAGCAGGGCAGGGGTGAGCGGGCAGGGCGGGTCGGGCCGAGCCGGCCCGGGGGGGCTGCCTGCGGTTTGGGGCTGCGGGAGGCGGGATGTCCCGGGGAGGGAGCGGGGATGTGCAGGCACACGCAGCCGCTGGCAGGCGGCCGGGGCGCACGGCGGCGGCGGCGGCGGCGGCGGGCGGAGCGGCACACGCGGCAGCTCCCTCCGCAGACCCGCGCCTCCCCAGCCCCGCCGCCGCCGCCGCCGCCGCCGCCGCCGCGCCGGGCATGGCCGCCCCTCGCCGCCGAGCCCCGCGATAGCCCCACGAGCCGCCGCGTCGCCGAGGTGAGCACACCGGGGAGGTGGGCTGGTCTCGCTGCGCGGCCCCCGCCGCCCGGGAAGGCGGCGGGGCCCGGGTGGTGCGAGGCCCCCCGGCCGGAGAGGGGGAGCAGCGGAGCGAGCGCTCCCCGCCCGGACCCTCCCGGGAGTGCGGGGGGGATCCGGAGGGGTCGTGAAACCGCGGGGTCTGAAGGGGCCGAGAGGGCTGAGCCGCTGCGGCGCGGCATCTCCCGGTGCATCCTGCCGTGCCTCGATAGCTCCGGGCCGGGGGACTGGGGAAATGCCCTCGTTTTGAGGTTGTCCCCGGTCGCCTCCGGCGGTTCCCGCTCACCCGCGAGAGGGTGTCTGTAATTGCCCCCGGGGGGGCCCTCATGCCCAGGGGCACTGGAGGGAATTAGGGAAGAGAGAGTGGGCGCGTCCTGTGCCCCAAGGCCAGGCCCGCTGACATCCACGTGGGCTCCGGTTGCCCCCGGGATGCGGCCACCGAAGGCAGCACCCGCAGGTCTGGAGCTCGAAGGGGCAGCAGTGGGGAGCCTCGCGCAGCGAGCTTTGCAATGACGCGTGGTGATCGTCTGTCGGGCTTTCAACAGCCCTAAGGGATGGGCTGCCAACTGCTCACCCGTCAGCCCTCAATTATTTTGTAAGTTTCCTAGGCATTGCTTCGCCCTCTCCTGAAATGCTGCAGCTGTCCATTACTGCCCAGCATTTCAGGGCAGGAAGCGCAGGACAGTCCTGAGAGCACGGTGACAAGGGGAGCACACAGAGGGAGGATGCTGTGATACCTGCTGGAATTTGGCTGGGACACTGTCTGAAAATGCTGCGTCCTATGTGGGTGATGGTTTGTTTGTGGCAAGATGCTCTTAACAGCATCACTGCTTTGGGCTCAGTGGGTGATTTTGTCTGGTCCACATGTGTCGAGCCATTAAAAGTGTCCCTAGCATCTTGTCCTGCAATGGATGTACGTGTGGAGGTGACTTCTCTCCAAATCTGGAAAGTCTTCCAAGTAGCTGCGGACCCAACGCAACCTTCTCTCACTTCACAGTGGGGCTGAGAGCAGCACGGCCTCTGCTCATCACACCCACGCAACTGGATGGAGCCTGCTCCATGCCACGCTCCTCACGGGATGGCTTAACCCCTCCCATCTCATTATAGTAATATCCTTATGATATCACCCTAGAATTTCCTGCCCTAAACAACCCCAGAAGGCTGGGAGGGATTGAAGTGTTTTTTGAAGTGTTTAATGCTACTTTACAAGGGCAGGAGGTGGTCAGAAAATCAGAGCTCACAGGTCTCTCTGTGGGGTGGCAGAAGGAAAGGGCTGCACCCAGCTAGTGAGCTGCTCGGGGCTTCAACCCTGGGGCCTATTGCTTCACCCCCTTCCTTACCAGTGCTATTTTCCCTGGTGCTACTTACTGCCCTCTCACCAGCAAATCCACCCCATTCCCTTCCCTTGTAATTGAGCCAGACGGAGCTTCGCATCTTACCCACCAGCTTAAGAGGTTTGCTTGCTGCAGGCAGTGAGTCTTTGAAAAGCAGCCCATGTGCTGTGAGCATAGGATAGATGCAGTGCAGGAACCTCACACCTTACTTAACACAGAGCTCAGGTCCCCTGATGCAGGGAGGGAAGGGGAAGGTCCCCTTGGCAGCGCTAGTGTTCATAGAGCCTTGAACAGAGCAGTGTAGCAGCCTCAGCTGCTGTGCACTCAGCACTGAGTGTATTTGTTTGGTCTCCCATATGCACGTGTCAGAAGGCTTTTAGGTTCTTAGTGCTCCAACGTTGCATTAGAGGAAGGAGTGTAGAAGGACAGATAGGCATGTGGTGAGAAGCCCATACAAAACCAGATGTTTCAGCTCAGAACTCCCAGGCAGTGGAGAGGAAGGGACACGTGAAGTGATGCTGCAGTGTGAGCCAGAGGCCTTTCCTCAGCCAGCTCTTTTTGCCTATGTAGGTGTTCATCTCGGTGGGGCCACACTGACCATGCTCAGGAGCTTCTGTCTCCAGCTCATGTCCTTGCTTTGGATCCTCTTAGCCCATCACCAGCTTGCCCAAGGTGAGTCTCTGGGTCCTGCTCTTCTCTGTCCACCTTTCTAAATCCATTCCTGGCATGGACAAAACTCCTCAGCTCATTGTGCAAAATAGAGCTGGCCTAACATGGAAAACCAGACAATGCTGCTTCATCATCCATCACGTGGGAGGCAACTAATGGTGACCATAAGGCCCTGTTGTGGTGGCAGCTGGGTGGCAGTGCATGAGCAGGCGGGAGGTCCCAGTGCCCCACATTTCACTGTGATGGGCCCTCTGGGAGAGGTAGGGTGAGAGGGGGAGAAGATCCTGACCCCAAATGGCTAATCCTGGATCCCGTGAGGCAAAATCCTGAAGATTATCTTGCCCTACCCCCGCTCCGGATAAGTGCTGAATTCCCAAAGCCATCTGCCAGGAGAGGTGCTCACAGGCAGGAGGGACAGTGATACCCAAGCCTGGACCGAGCAAATCCAGCACCACTGCCCTGGTTGGATTTGGAAGGCTCCTGCCTCACGGATGGAGGTTTGGGAGGCTCATGCCTCATGGATGAAGGAGCCTGATCAGGGTGGGCAGTCACAGGGCCTGGGTGCACATTGGGTTCCTGTAGAAAGCGCTGAGCAGGTGACGGGACAGAGGGGGAGGTTGGGATGAAAGCAGACAAGGAGCTGGAGAAAGCAGGCTGACATGGATCATGAGTGAGACGTGGCATGGCAAGGCCATGGCTCAGTTACAGCCTCTTTATGACGGCCTTTAAATAAATAAGCAGAACTGGATACCTGCTCCTCAAGGTGAAGGGGAGTGCTCGGGCCCTGGCTGCAGTCTGCTGCACGCAAACAGTTTTTCTCAGGAATGGGAACATCCCAGAGACACAAAGGACACGTTCTCACTACTTCTGCCTTTGGTGCCTTTGTGCCCTGTGTGTGCCTTGAGCCTTCCCGCCCCAGCGGTCCAGGTGCTGTAGCACAGGCCATAGGGTCCCATTTTTGAGTTACCTGCAAGCCAGCAGGGACAGAGCAGACCTGGGATCGCCCATGATCTCTGCTTAACCTCAGCCCCCTGTCCCTGCCTTGCAGGTGATGACTGCAGTGAGCACTGCAACCTGGCCCATGGCAGCTGCGACCAGGATGGGAAGTGCAGGTACGTTCACCTCCCTCGATGCGTTTATCTTTCCTCATCCACACCTCAGCTTTGGCAGCGCCCCACCGAAATTGCCCCAATGCCCAGGGACTTCTGCGATTGTAGTTTTTAGGCTTTCTCTTTTGGGAAAGGAAAGCTGCTCACACCTTCTCTTCTGCACCACAGCCTGTGATACCCAAGGGAAGGGGTGCTTGCTGCCCATGCTCAGGTTTATCCTGAGGTTTATCTTCATGCTGTTTTGTTTATAGCTTTTGCAGTATCTGGTGCCACCTCCGCTCAGCCCTGCTTCCATAGAGATGCCCTCTTTTCTTAGCACTTGCTGAGAGCTGATAGGATGAGGGAAGGCTACTGGGACACCATAGCTTTGCTTGTTGGTGGCTGTGGCCACCACACCGCTCCTCTGGGGCAGAAGACTCGTTGTATCCTGTAGGGCTCTGTTTTCCTACCATGCTGCACCCATAAGCCTATAGAGTCACAGAGTTGTAGAATATCCCAAGTTGGAAAGGACCCATAAGGATCACTGAGACCAACTCCTGGCTCCATCTAGGACCATTCGAAATTCAGGTCACTTCCAAGAGTGCCATGACCACTGCCCTGGGTAGCCTGTTCAAGGGCCCGACCACCCTCGGGTGATTAACGTTTTCCTAACACCCAACCTGACCCTCCCCTGTAGCTCAGTGCTTTCAACATGCTGGCCACGTCATGTGAGAACTTGCATAGTGACCACCCACTGCAGTACAGGACCTCTCGTCCCATCCCCTGAGGCTTCTGGTGTTATGGATGGGGCTTCTCTCTGCCTGTCTGGCTGTGTGGTGGGAGATACACAGGGCTTGTTCAGTAGGTGCAGAAAAGCTGGGTGTCACAACGCTGCCCTGTCCCCTCAGGTGCGACCCAGGCTGGGAGGGCGAGTACTGCGAGCAGTGTGTGCGCATGCCGGGCTGCCTCCACGGGACCTGCCACCAGCCCTGGCAGTGCATCTGTCACAGCGGCTGGGCCGGCAAGTTCTGCGACAAGGGTGAGTCCCTGGCTGTGCGGATGGCTGGCTCTGCAAGGGACAGTGGAGCATCATCCAATCTCATTCCCATGCTGTGCTTCAAGGGTGCCGTGGCTAAAGTCCTGCACTGATAGGAGGGATGGCACAGCCAGAAGCCATGTGTGGGATGCCAGCTTGGGCTGCTTTGGCTGTCCCCAGCTGCATGCTGGGAGCAGCATAGCACTGTTTCCAAGTGCTGTTATCTGGCCTGACAGTGCAGCTCCCCCACGCCACCACCATGGTGAGCTCCTGCTGGCTGGCACGCACAGCACTGGCACATCACGCAGGCCAACAAGGGGTCTTGCCACCTCCAGGCCTGGCTTGCTAGTGCCTGATGAAAGGAAGGAGGGAGAAGGTGTGGCCACTTTCCCATCCCCACTGGGTCTGGCAGAGTTTGGAAACTGAAGTGACTGCATTAACTCTCATTTCTCACTCACTCCACCTTTTCTTTCCCCCCTCAGACGTCCACATCTGCGAACATCAGTCCCCATGCCAGAATGGGGCTCAGTGCATCTATGACCGAGATGGGGATTACTCCTGTCTGTGTCCAGAGGGCTTCCATGGGAAGGACTGTGAGATGAAGGCAGGACCATGTGAGAAGGCAGGGTAAGGCACAGCACTGTGATGACAGACAGCACTAGTTGCAGCTCAGCTTGGCTCATTGTCTCTAGATTTCCATGCACTAATGGAGTTAAGCCAAAACCACCTTTGGCTTTAGTTTAACTTGGCAGTCCTGCTAGGGCTGTGATCTGAGCAGGTTCCCATCCCTTGTCAAAGTGGACGCAATGAGCTGACACCAGTTGTGCCTTAAGGAGAACCAGGAGGACCTGCATCTTCCTCAGATCCTTGGCTTGCGGCCTCTTCCAATTGAGCAGTTGCCCTGTGCCTTGGGGACATCCCAATCTTGTCACTATAGAGGCAGAAGCTTTACCGCATCCTCCTTTACCGCATCCATCCACCTGCCCTGTGGCTTGGCGGCCAGCTCCAGTAGTGAGTTTCCATCCCCATGGCAGGGGGAGTCGCTTGTTTTCCAGGGCCATGACCTCTCTCCTCTCTCCTTGCAGGTCTCCATGCAAGAATGGGGGGCAATGTCAAGATGAAAATGGCTTTGCCAGCAACTTCACCTGCCGGTGCCTCGCTGGCTTTGTGGGGGCTCTCTGTGAGCACGACGTGGATGACTGCCTGATGCGGCCCTGCGCCAACGGTGCCACCTGCCATGATGGCATCAACCGCTTCTCCTGCCAATGCCAGGTGGGCTTCGAGGGGCGTTTCTGCACCATCAACATCAACGACTGTGCCAGCCAGCCCTGCAAAAATGGGGCCAAGTGCTACGACCGCATCAATGACTATGACTGCTTGTGTCCGGACCGTTTCACTGGCAAAACCTGTGAGATCTCCATCCCTGAGCCCACCTGGGCTCCCCCCTACCATCCTTTGAACCACGAGAGCGGCTGGGCGATTAGGAGCACCACCAGCGAGATGCCTGAGGTGACACAGCCAGAGCCCATGAGGAGTGCAGTTACGGGGCGGCGTGTGGCCAACCACAGTGAGAAAGTGCCGGGAGGAGGGTTGTTAAAAATCTCTGTGAAAGAGGTGGTGACCCAAAGGGACTCAGGGCTGAGCGAAGCCCAGCTGGTGACAGTGCTGGTGTTTGGGGTGCTGACGGCAGTGCTGGTCCTCATCACTATCCTGCTCATCCTGAGGAACTGGCAGAGGGGCCGACAGCGGTCGAACTGGTGCCAAAGCCCTTCGCAGGCTGCCAGGAAGCTCCAAGATCAGGAGTGCCAGGTGGGCATGTTAAACTCGGTCCTGATCGAGCCCAGGAAAACAACAGAGCTCTGAGCACTCTGAGCCGGGCCCCTGCAGGTCATCATGCTGGCAGACCCCTCGAACTGCACCCCAGGCAGCTGTTCTGGTGCAAATTGGGCAGTAGGGAAAGGCTCCTCGGGCAGTGAGCACATCAACAAAACCCCATGGTGCTGAGCTCGGTGCAATGGGCCCAAGCCATCTCCACCGGCCAGCACCTGTGTGAGTGAAGGTAGGGCTGCATGGGGCCAGCCCTGCAAGGGAGCAGCATTGGTACCGCTCCAGTGTGAGCACTTGGGAATGGACTGGGACTGCTGGAGTGCTGTCTCACAAGTGTCTTCTGCTAGGTCTCTACAACTCATCTCTGTGACTGGAACAGGGTCTCCCAGCTCTTTCTGGAGGCTGTAGTTTCAGATGCCGTGTTCCAAGGGCACAAGCAGATGTGGCCTTGTGGCCACGCGAGCCAGTTTGGAAACACTGTAGAGACTGTTTAGGGTCTCCTGCCCTTTTTCTGCCCTATGTGATGCTCTTTCCTCTTACCATCAGACTTGGTATTACAGACATGTTCTGTACTTTTCTCCTGATGATCCGTGGTGTTTCCTCTCCCTACTTATGGAGCCGTCCTTTCTGGTATGGACACAGACAGCAAAGCTCCTTCCCCAACCCAACGTGCACTTCTGCTTTACTGTTTGCTGATGGGGAAGCACGTGGCCTCTTCCTTGTGGGGCATCCCGGGCCTGAGCTGGTCCTTCTCATGTCCTCACAGGTGAAACTGGAGCTGGCCAAGACTGGAGATGTGCTGCAACTGGCTCAGGAGCAATACAGGATCCAGATCCTCATTTCCCCTGCCAGTCCCTCCGAAGCACCCTGCTGGCATTAACCTCAAACCAGCCATTGCAGAGTTTGTTGATAGTAACCAAGCTAAACTCCCTGCAGCGGATGTGTGGACAGGATACGGAGCCAATGATGACTGTAGGAAGCAGATACAGCACTGCATTCTCCTTGCTAAAGCAGGGCTGAGAGGCACTTAGCCTTGGTACCAGCTCTGCTCTGCCTTTTCTGGTCTGGTGTACAGCAAGCAGGGCCTCCCTGCCACAGTCAGGATTTTCTATGCCTCCTCATAGGAATGAGGGGTCAAACAGTGGAAATCTTGAAAAATAAACAACAAAACAACCCCTACTACTGGCCTGTAGGGTCACAGAACAGGGTTTGAGGTCATGTAGAAAGAGAGTGGCCAGGGGATTAAGCACTCAGCCAGGAGAGAGACCTGGGAGAGGGGTCTGGGGCTTCATCAAAAAGATTATTTTTTTAATACATGAATGGATAATGTACCTTTATCAAATAAAACAATTACAAGCCCAGAAACTGTATTAGAGAATGATAAAATAATTTAAGTTGAAGCATTTCTGTACATCAACCTCCTGCTCTCAGCAGATTCAATTACATCACGTTGCTCAGCTACTTGTCCTGTCCAGTTGTGAGTATCTGTATTTTCATCACTGCCTTCAAAAGTGCAAAACCAGACTGTGGCACGTGGATTGTTCTACCCCATGTTCTGGCCCAAAGTCATCATAAACCTTTCGTTGCCTGGAAGCCCTTAACTTTGCTGCCCTGGCATTGTCCTGCTGGGAGAAGTTCAGAGATCTCAGGGCCTTCTTGATCTTAACATCTCAAAACATCAGAGGCTGCTTAGCTTGAGGCCAGCCTTACCTGTCACTGAGCAAAGAGAGACATAACTGCAGTGGGTAGAGACCTGCCTCAGGACAGGGTAATATCTGCAAGGCACTGACTCAGAGTGCTGGAGAGCAAGGAAAAGACAAGACTAAGTGCAAGGGCAAGATGAGAAGAGTAAGCTGATTCTCTAATTGAAAGAAGCCATATGTTTGTGCAGCTGGGAGCAGGGGAGGAGTCAAGGAAAAATGGTGTTGGAATAAACTAGCCTTAAGGGGCCTTTAATGTCATTGCATTCTGGCCTTTCAGAAGGAAGGGTCTCCACTGCAAGCCAGAGAAAGAGCAGTAAGATCCCTGGTTGCAAACTTCTGGGGTATCTGGAGAGGTCAAAGTTCCCTGGCTGTTCTAGCAAGAAGGAAGGGTTATGTTAGTGCAGAGGGTACCACTTCTGCAGCTCACAAGCAAGTCTATGCCTGGAGGGCAAAGGGGAAAGGAACCCAAATAACACAACTTCACAAGAATGTTTCCATTTTATTCTAAATTGCATACATGAGACTGAGCCTCAGATTAGGAGTCACTGATTCTTCAGTGAGGAGTAAAGCCCTCTGTAATCTCAAAGGGAAGCTTTAGAGGGCAACAGTGCCCCACCAGCCAGGCTCACATGGCCCTAAGCACCAGTTCACTTTTCCCTACTATAAGAAAGGCCATGCTTCCATTCCTGAGACACACAGTCATTGTCAGCAGGAGGCAATGACCCCTCCTCTCACTTCAGCAGCTCCTGGCTCTGCAGGGATGGAGCTGGCAGCTGAGGCAAGAGGAAAGGCAGACCCAGACGGACTGCCTGACCTCAGCCCCAGAAGGAGGTCACTGCTGCCCACTGTGCAGCAGGCGCTGAAACAAGGAGCCGTCCTTTTTGCTTAGGCAGGCAGGTGAGTCCAGCTCCACCACTCTTCCAGCCTGCATCACTAACACACGGTCTGAGTCCAAGATGGTGTTCAGCCTGTGGACAGCAGACACCAGGACACATTAGCGGAGCTGAAGAGGAAGAACTCCACGCACTGCTTTACCTGCTGTCAAGAACAGGCCCAAGACATGCCCAGCACTAATATTCACAGGGCCTCTCCTTATGCACCCAGGGGCACGCTACAGTCCAGTTCACCAGGCAACTTCTGTCCACCACTGAAATACAAGATGTTTCCATCCTCACAGCAGAGTTATTGAGTTGCTTCTGTTTGCCCATCCAATTAATGGCTCACTCAAAACTGAATGGTGTGGAACAACCACAGGTACAGAATCCCATCATTATTTCTCCCTCCTTAGTGTTCTACTCTATCTCAGTTCTAGTGGAAAAGAGGTTGGGGCCATTTCCAACCCAGTCTTGCTTTACCTTCTGTCACTCCCTCCTCTGCTGGTTCTCTTCAGTAATTGCTCTTTCATCAAAGAGATCTTGACCACACCCCAAACACACACCTCAGCCCACAGTGTGCTTACTTTTCTACTCTAGCTCTGCATTATCTCCCTAGCATTCAAATCCTATTCCCATCTCCTACCCTCTTATCTAATCCACTTAACAAGACCCACTCAATTCCCTTGCAAGGTCTGGCCCACCCTGCCTGTTATCCACCACTCCCACTTGACAACATCCCCTGTCACCTGCTTGCCTGATTTTTATTTTTGTGGTAAACCCGGTGCTGGGAAGCAGTTCCCTTTAAAACACCCTACATACTACTGCATGACCTTCCTCCAAATTCTCTTCCATTTGGCAACAGTGGGAGCGTTCAGGGCAGAGACCACTGCTTACCCATCCCTTCTCAGTATCCACAGCATTTGTGTTTTGCACTCCTCTGTCACTGCTTTGACTCTTACATTAGCTCTCTTGGCTGTGGAGCAAGCACTGCTGCTGTGTACTGCCTGGGGAATGTCCAGCCTGTCAGGGTCAGATGCAGGCTGGAACCAACACTCGGAGGATTGGAAAACAGAATTACCAAGTGCTCTACCTCCCCTGGCCAGAAGCTGCCTGCAGCCCTTCACCTTTGGTTGTCCTGCAGTGCCCTCTACTGAGCCAGAGCCACCTGCTTCACTCACATGTCCAACTGCTGTTTTTGTGTAGGGTATTTCCCCACTGCTCCTTGCCCCATTAGCCAGAACCACACGCCTATAGTTCACCCCCTGGTCCCAGCAGGCAATGCCCAAGGGAGCCATCAGCCACACAGTATTTCCCTCTGCTGTCACCCAGTTTCTAGGTACAGCATTTTAACTGCCTTGTTCTGCTCAACCTTCAGGCATGGCAGGCACAGCCACTGCTTCCTCTGAGGGCATAACACTGCGTCAAAAAGTACTGGACACGTGGAGCGATGGTTTCTCCGTACCTGTGAGCAATTGTCAAAACAGTTTTGTCAGCAAAGCGCTGGCGGATGGTTTGCTGCAGCAGCTGGTCTGTCTTCTGATCCACACTGGCTGTGGCCTCATCAATGCACAACACCTGCCAGGGACAGAGTGAAGGGGACACCCAAACATCACTGAGGAGACCCCAGTCTATGTCAAGGGATATCGTGACAAGGTAGCACAGGTCATCCATCACCACCACACCCCACTCCTGGAGCACCCTGCCCTGTTGTGCCAACACAGCCATCAGCAACTCACTCCTCGCTTTGATGGAGGCAGGCACTCACCTTGGCCTGTGTCAGGAGGGCTCTTGCCAGACACACCAGCTGCCTCTGACCCACAGATAGACTCTTTCCTCTCTCTCCCAGCTCACTGTCCAATCCACCTGCAGAGGTCAAGCTGAGCAGTTATCACACCACGCTCTGTGTAGACAGCTCTCCCAGTCTGTTTTTTTTTTTTCCCCCCAGCAGCACTCAAAATTCCAATCCCAATCAGTCCCAAGCCTTTGAAATCAAAGCCTTTCTGCTTGGATGCAAGCAACATCTGCCAGAGACATGAAATGTGCTGCTAGAACCATGGCTAAGGCATCTCTCTGAGGCTCTGCCTGAGCATCCACTGGTGCCTAGGCTGATCAGCAAGATTCTGCCATCCAATCCACCACCTGACTGTTTCTTGATACTAAATCTCTGGGAACATCACTGGGCTCTCACTGGCTTTTTCTCACTGGTGCTAGTGGAGCCTCATCTAACCAATTCCCTACCACATCTACCTGATCCCTTTTCACCAGCTTTCTGACTGGAAGCTTTCTTTCCTCTCCCAGTAGCAGGGCCCACCAATCTCTCCACACTGGCTCCAGACTCACCTATCTGGGTAACAGCATCCCGCAGGTGGCACTGCTCTAGCACTTCATGGAGTTCAGCATCTGTCCATTTACCCTGAGGGTCCAAATTCTCTCGGATTGAGCCACTGAATAAAAATGGATCCTGGGGGATGATAGCCAGTCTAGATCTGCAAGCAAAGGATAGCTGAAGGCATATGGGGTAGGTTCTGCAGAAAAGCAATGGCCTCTTTTTTTTTCCCCCCCCGGCATGCCTTGGCTGCATATTTTAAAGACACAGAGATAAGGCTTAAGTCACTTTTCAACTTGGTTTCCTCAGTACAGGTCTACAGAAACAACAAAGCAACTTATGAGAAACAGACTACAGACAAGAGAGTAAGCCTTTTCCTCCTGACTCTTCTTTTTGGTATCCAACCAATGGCTTCCAGACCCCAAGCCCCCTCCACCCAGGCTGCCCCTTGCTCTGCTCAGACCCCTCTGTACCTCAGCTCCTCTAAGCCCACCAGCTGGCTGTCAACACCATCCAGGAGAATACGGCCTGCTTTCAGCTCCAGCATGCGGAATAGTGCCAAGAAAAGGGTGGATTTTCCAGATCCTGTGCGACCCACAATCCCCACCTTCTCTCCAGGGTACACCGTGAAACTCACTCCATCAAGTGCATTGGGAAGGCCTGCTCGGTAGGCCAGGATCACTTGCTGGAACTCCACAAGCCCTTGGCTTGGCCAGTCAGCAGCAACCTAAGAGAAGCACCAGAGAAAGACAGAGGATGAATGTGACTGCCATCTTCAGCCCCATCTCCACACAGGCCAAGACTCACACATTCCTTTGGATAATTGCTTGGCTTTTGAACAGACGGAAGGTGCAGCTCAGATCTCCTTCTACAACTTTTTTTTTCCTCTCACAGTTTAGCCCTAACACCCCCTTCTGCTTTTCCATCCTCTTCCATCACTCTAGCCTTCAACAATTCCTGCCTGAGGTTTACCCTCCTGGGGGTGTATTGGTAAAGGATGAATAACTCAAGCAGATTCTCTGAGTGAGTGCTTTCCAACCACTCATTACAACCTTTTGACCTTCCCCAGGAAGAAACCACAAGAAGCCAGCAGAGAGGTTGATGCCTGAAAACATACTTAAGGTTTTACCTGGACCAGTTTATTCTGGGGCTCCATGGGGATGTCTGTGGTATATTCCTCTGTCCGCTCCACGCTCACCATCATGGTTTCTGTTGTAGTGAAGCTGGAAATGAGGCCTGAGAGCAGGTTTGTAACAGACAGCGCATATGAGAGTGCCAGGCCCACAAGTCCTGAGAGGACAAAAGCATACGCAAGGATGTTAATGGCAGGGAAGGAGCTGGGATCTTGGAAGGACAAAGAAAAAGCAACACAAAAAAGAGAGAAGCCAGCACTCTGGAGTCTGGGATCTCACTGTTGCACAGGGACGTGTAAAAGCAGCAACAGAAGCCAAAGCATCACAATGTGGGCAACACACAGAGTGACAAGGAGCAGGAACTCTGGATTTTACTCTGGTATACAGAGATATGCAACTCTGGGCTGAGAGGAATCCCTGGACCACAGTCTCAGGGAGGCAAAGAAAAACCCCCGACAGCCTACCTGGATTTCCTATCTGCTTCTGGTGCTGGATGATGGCAATTCCTGCAATAGCTGTAATCACAGCAACTCCAATCATTTGCAAGCGA